GTCCTTTCCCTGCCCAGTCCCTCGCTCTCTTCCTAGCCTGATAGCCCAGAGATTCCCTGATCTGGAGTTGGAGCCAGTAGCCGGCCAACCCAGCTTCCCTAGTTACTTGCCCTACTTCTGGAGAGGAGTTTCTTTACTCCCCATAGTCTCTTGTCCTCTGTGAACGTGGCTGCTGGGCCTTGTAGGACACTTTCTACAGTTACCAAGCTCGTTTCCCATTCCCTTTGCCTCACACCGGAGTGGGTTCTCTAGGTCCCGTTCCTGTTCTACTCAGACCCTAAGACTGTTTACTCCAGTCCCTTTCAAGAAGGCTGGGTGAGATTTAAGTCTCTTGGGGGCTGGAGAGGGGACACTCGCCTTCAGAGGAAGGTGTCTTGACTTGGGAGCTGGGATCAGAAATTGTTCCTTCTCTTTGGGAAGGTGTGGAAATGTCCCTTGTCACGGGGGTGCTGAGAGGGTAGCTGGAACCACAGGAGACATTTCATACAAGCATCTGGCTTCCTGCAGGTGATTTAACAGGGCAAAATGGCAATACGGGATAGGAAGATGTGTGTGTGGGAGCTTTCAAATTGGAGAAGAGATATGACTGTCCATCTTGCTCTTTTCCTGTCTCTTCTCTTACAGATTTGGAGGCTCATCACCAACTTCCTCTTTTTTGGGCCCTTGGGATTCAGTTTCTTTTTCAACATGATATTTTTGTATCCTTTGGTCTCATCAGCACTCTTTGGTCCCTTTTCGTTTTAAATTGGACTCTTCACACACCCACCTTCCTCATCTAGCTGGCTTGTCTCATCTTCAGTGCCAGGCTGTAACGTTTCCCTTCGTCCAGTCTCTGACAGTCAGAACTGAAAAGTCACTTCCCAGACGTGGTCACTCCAGATCAATGTTCCTTAAACTTTTTAAGACTAAGGAACACCAATTTTTTTTAATGATGAACACCAGGGATTTTTGGTTGAGCGAGCCAAAAAAAAAGTCGTGTGCCCCTTTAAGGGTGGCCATTTTTAATTCTGTTCTCTGTGGCACACTGGTGTGCCATGGAACACAGTTTAAGAAACACTGCTCCAGAGCCTGCTGGTGTCTTAGATGGGAGATGACCAAGCTTGCGGCTGCAGAGCTCCAGCTTAGTCCATAACTCATTTGCTGGGCTGTCTAAAAGACCTGTCTGGTGGGGGCAGCTCCCCTGGAGGAAAGCCTTGGGGTGGTATCAGTGAGACAGGCAGTGTTAGCTGCCGCCAGAGACGACAGTGCTCTGACCTGAAACTACACTGCTGTGTGGCTTCTGCAGCCATGCTGGGCAGAGCTGAGCAGGTGACCCAATCTCCTCAAGTCTGGTAGCACAAGATGACTCTCACTGCTCTGGCTTTGGGCTTGGACAGCTGCTGGCTGCCAGCTTCCTCCCCTGAAACTACTTGCCAGCAAACCCTGTGGCTTAGTCGGTGACGCAGGGTAGCCAGCTGTTAATTTTCCTATGCTGCAAACCCTCTCATTTCCCACTCTCAGGTACAGATATTGCCGAATGCTTGAGGAAGGCTCCTTTCGGGGAAGGACGGCCGACTTTGTCTTCATGTTTCTCTTCGGGGGATTTCTCATGACAGTATCCTTTGTTCGAGTTGGCCAAGACTCCAGGGGTGGCGGCTGCTGCTACTCCACTGCATGGAGGAGCACCGTAAGCTCTTCTGTATGCCCCTCTCTACGTGAGGATACAACAGGGGCTGCAGGGTGTGAAATGCATGTTTCCTAGGGCAGACAAACCCTGGAGCCACAGGGCTGGCAGAGGCAGATTCTGCTCATTAGCCTCTGTCAGTGCTGCCAGTCAAACTGTTTCTTCCATTGGCCACAGGAGTGCTGATGCACACAATCTCTCCAGATACACTTGGGCAGGGCAGGTGGCATGTTGTGTAACACTGGGTGCAGGAAGCTGTTGGATCATTAGGTTTAGTGAGAAATGGAGCCGGGTGGTTCTTAACTATCTTAAATAACTCTGCTGGGCTGCTGGACTCTCTGCCCTGATCCAGGCTGTCATTTCAGGGAGGTGGTTACTCCACAAAACCAGCTCACACTGGAGTGTCTAATTTAGAGAGCAGCAGCAGTTAAAACATTTAGCCCCAAGCTCCCAGAGAGCATGGGACTGGGAAGAGGAGTTGCACATATGGAGCTGAACACAGAGCTTGGTCCTGAATCTTTAGCAGCTTGTGTAGCATAAGGCTGAGCTGTGTTAATGGGCGTGACCAGGGCTACTTTGATTTCTTTTTTTGTACCTAGTGTGAATATTGTTTTAAGCTTTTGGAACCATTTAAAGTAAGAGAAACACGTCTGGGAAGGACAAAAACTCCCTTGGTAGACAAACTTTTCTGGAGTTCCCTGCTGCCACCTGTTGCAGGGTGCCCCCTGAGAGGTGTTGTGGCCCATGTGTTAACCGCAAGCAGCGCTCTTCCTCTACAGCTGTGCGTTCCTATGTAAATACTGCGCAGACTTGCACATCCTGTGGGCAGTGTCTGTAAGTGCTTAGTGAGGCCAATGCCAATGCACCTGCGCTGTCCCCATTCTTGAGCTCTCATCTGCATCAGAGCCCCTGCACACAGCAGGAGCAATGAGTGCGAAGACCGGCCTCACTTTTGCAACCCTGCAGCTAGCCCGTAGGGTCCTTGGTGTGTTAGAAACCACCTATCCCTCTCCCTGGGCAGGCAAAGGAACAGAGAAAAGTTAGGGTCTCTCTGACAGAACTCTCTTGCAGAGGGCAAAGTGGGGTCGGCTTGGATGCAGATAAATAGCAGGCACTCCTCTTGTGCTTGAAAGGTGAAACTTAAACTTGAGAAGTGGCCTGGCTAGCTCCTAAGCCTCCTAAGGGGGGGGACAGACTCTCCTTCTAGGGCAGCTTAGCCCTAGATAGTAGTTACAACCCTCTGGTGCTGGTTCAGAGCCCCGGGGAAGAGGTGTTTGCGCTCAGTCCAGCTCCGACTGGACTAATGTCGGTGCCAAGAAAGCCAGGGTGTTGCACTAACAGACCTACTCCCCACAGCCTTGGAAGGCAGCTTGGTCTTGTGAGCTGGCCATGGTAGAGGGAGTTGGGGGTGGGGTGGGGAGTGTTCTGGGATCAAGCACAGACTCACAGGAGGCGCGGATAGGTTTACCATTCTCCATTAACTTCCCCAGGGGTGAAAAGCAGAAATTTGGCTTGCCCACCTTTGCCAAGTGTTTGAGGCGCTTTTACTGAAGAACAGTGGTTGGCAGGCTAAAGATTTCAGAGGGCTGTGGGCTGTCAGGCAAGTCCACTGGCAACTAAGTTCGTGCTCTGGAAGATGACAGGCGAGAATTAACAAAGCTTCCCTAGGGAATAAGAGCTGTTTGGGTGACGGCTGCCCTGGGGTGGACATCGCTCTTCCTCAGCTGAACGGCCTGCTCACATTGCTGCTATTAGAGGGTTGGGTACAAGGAAGGGGTAAGTGTGAGGGATGAACTTCTGCAGGGTACATCTGGTGACTTGTGCAGTCACATGGCTGTTCAAGTTATCTGCATCCAGACTGGCCCTGCTCAGAGTCATACGAGGCCTGGGTTCAAAGGGACCCCTCATATTCAGTCTCCCTTCGTGCAGAGTTTATCAGCTCTATTAACACCCCTGGAAGTCTTGTAATGACCGGTCAGTAATTAGGTCTCTTCCAGGTTATAGAGAACTCTGTTCCCTAAATAACCCAAAACCTGCATCTGGTGTTGGGAGTATTGACTGGCCCTGCTCAGAGTCATACGAGGCCTGGGTTCAAAGGGACCCCTCATATTCAGTCTCCCTTCGTGCAGAGTTTATCAGCTCTATTAACACCCCTGGAAGTCTTGTAATGACCGGTCAGTAATTAGGTCTCTTCCAGGTTATAGAGAACTCTGTTCCCTAAATAACCCAAAACCTGCATCTGGTGTTGGGAGTATTGTCCTGTGCTGCATGTGAGGCCAGTGTCCGGAGGGGGGGG